GCTCACTGAAAATATGTGCTTGTGGTGACGCTTCTGCAAAAGCAATGTTACGTGCCTTATTGCACTTTCATGGAAGTTTCAAAGTGAGTAGCACTAAAATGTACATTCAATATGTGACTATGTGCTCTAACGTGTTGGGAAAATAACATTCCCACTACACCTAAACCTACCCAATAGTGTTAACAAATGCCATAAAAAAAAGTGACATAAAAACGCATTTGTTGATGCAACCATGCCATTTTAACTTCCATGTGGATTTTGTTGAACGCTAGTTTCGCGGGATTCATACCGAAGTGCTTCACATCACAAGTGCAACACTACGGAGCAAACCTGCTGTGTTAGAAAACCCATACATAGGAAGCTGTATATGTAACACTAATATCCAAAAGTATCAGTTTCCAAATCTCGCAGCATGTTAAAATAGATGAGGTCATAACATAGTATTGTGCAAGGAATTGAGTGAAAATTAGGCTTTCTTAATCAACTCTGGCCCTGTAAATCAGATTTTGTGTGAGTTTTGCTGCTTCTAGTGTTCATTTCATCTGGAAACTGCAGCGATTTGTACGTATAGGTACATTTTTTGAGTTTGGCAGATACATGGGTAGAGGCACGTATTTCCAATGAGCCTGAGTAGCTTATATCTTAACATTTAGTTGAGGTGCTGGAGTCTGATTGGCCGATAAGTGTCTAATAGTGCTGATGTAACAGGTTTCACTGCATTGCATTCATCTGTGTTCAGACAGACTGTCTGTCTGTCTGTGTGTTAGAGGAGGGATTTTACATTGCAGACTCTTTCTGCAGTTACACGGATACACCAGTAGGTGATGGAAAGTGACTCTATGAATGAGTCATTGAATTATTCACTCAATTTGTTCAAAACACTGATTAATTCAGTGCTCTTCATCAGCTTTAACGTCTCAGTGTTTGGTGGATGTGTGATGTACGGTGAAGCGTGTATCACAGATGCTTTGAGATCATCCTAGCGAGTATCTGTCCCAGAAGTCTCTGCTGTCACATGACCGCTGGTGTGTTGTGTTCCTGCAGCTCTGCGGTTCACGCGGGTCAGTACAACGCTCCTCTCCCGGCCGTGGTGATCGACTGCGACGATGATAAAGAGAACATCCCCAACGAGTCTGACTACGAGGACCTGCCCAGCATGTATAAGGATGAAGAGCAGGAGGAGGACGACGATGACGACGATTCGCTCTTTACAAGTTAGTCTTGAAATCGTTTGTGTTTGCTGGTGGGTTATGGCAGATTCATTGATTTGTCCTTTTGTAATGAGGCAGTCAGGGCTCACTCTGTGTCTGTGTCTGTCTGTGTGTGTGTGTCTTTGCCTGCGTGTGTCTTTGCCTGCGTGTGTCTGTGTCTGTGTGTGTGTGTGTGTCTTTGCCTGCGTGTGTCTTTGCCTGCGTGTGTCTGTGCCTGTGTGTGTCTGTGCCTGTGTGTGTCTGTGTGCCTGTGTGTGTGTCTGTGTCTCTGTGTCTGTCTGTGTCTCTGTGTGTGTCTCTGTGTGTGTCTGTGTCTCTGTGTCTGTGTGTGTCTGTGTCTGTGTGTGTGTCTGTGCGTGTGTCTGTGTCTGTGTGTGCCTGTGCCTGTGCCTGCGTGTGTCTGTGCCTGCGTGTGTTTGTGTCTGTGTTTGTGCCTGTGCCTGTGTCTGTGTCTGTGTGTGTCTGCGTTCAGACTCACTGGCCCTGAAGATCTTGAGGAAGGACTCTCTGGCAGTGAAGCTGAGTAACAGACCGTCTCCGAGAGATCTGCAGGATAAGAACATCTTACCTGTAAAGACGGATGAGGAGCGACTGCAGTCT